GCAAAAGCAAACAAGGCAACCTAAAGGCAGAACCCTTCCATTGGAGTCCCTAACACACAGCACATCTATTTTCATATTAGTAGGTTTTTAAACACATTAAAACCACCTGTGTATGTTAAAGACTTATGTGGTTAAAATGTAAAGAGGGCCCCAAAACAAAACCTCCCCTTGTGCCTTGAGGAGATAAGGCTTGCCCTGCATGTGGGGTATAGTTACTTTTCTGGATTCCAGTAAATTTCAATTTGTTCCTTCCTTTGTACAAACTGGCTGCTAAACAGCAGTTATTGAGTGCACCATTTACATACATTTGGTTAAAAGAAACATTGATAAATTTGAGGGGTTTTTTATTGCAGTAAATTCAATTCAATTGATTTTGTATAGCCCAACATCACAAATTTGCATCAGAGGGCATTACAATCTGTAGACATGCGACATCCTCTGTCCCGGAAATTGAAAACACAACTAGCTTTATCATCAGCTGGCCCTGGATATCATCTTATTCTGTAGCTGAAAACAATGACAGTGAGGCTCTCAGCTGCAATAATTGTCATATCAGCAGACCAGTGAAACTTTCAAGACCACTGACCACAGCAGCATTCATCACAGGAGAGAGAGCAAAGGCCTGAGTGGGAGTTTAGTACCTCCATTGCTCCAGTTCAAGCTCACTGCCACAGGACTGGAAGACAAATCATTCACCAAATTGCCAGCCAACCATCCGTGAATTCCTAACGTTCATGAGCGCTCATGTGAAGAGAAAATGAGTGCAAGTCTGAGGACGCTTGTGGGTGTGCGTGAGTCAACACCTTCATAAGGTATGTAAATTAGCATTTTTGACTCAACATTTAAGCAAAGGTGTAGACCAAAGTGGAGCTGCAATGGTGTCTCTTTTAAATGATGGCCCTAATAACAGAGGATAAGGGAGGTCATCATTGAACTGGTTGACCCCCATAGTGCTCATTGACATCATTGCAATACCTCTTCGCCTCATAAAGGACTGGGACTGAATTGATGTCTGAAACACTTTCACACCCCAAAAATGTAATCCTCCTGTATACGGAATTATGACACGACAGTAAAATAGAAAGGAGAGACTATATATTATCTTTAACAGCTAGGACGTTGTGTAAAAAGTTAATTTAAAGGATATCCCTATATATAATAATATTGTCACACATTCCACATAGTGCAGCATTTAAAAATAGCTCAATTTTGTTGTAAGGTCAATTGGAATTACTGCAATCAGTGGATTCACTCACAAGAGTTGAATAAATGTGTCCATATCCATCCATCCATCCATTTTCCTCCGCTTATCCGGGGTCGGGTCGCGGTGGCAACAGGCCAAGCAGGCTGACCCAGACTTCCCTCTCACCGGTAACATGTTCCAGCTCATTCTGGGGGATCCCGAGGAGTTCCCAGGTCAGCTGGGAGATGTAATCCCTCCAGCGTGTCCTGGGTCCAGTGGGAGGCGTCCAGGAGGCATCCTAATTAGATGCCCGAACCACCTCAACTGACTCCTTTCGACGCGAAGGAGTAGCGGCTCGACTCCAAGCTCCCTCCTGATGACCGAGCTCCTTACCCTATCTCTAAGGCTGAGCCCGGCCACCCTACGGAGGAAGCTCATTTCGGCCGCTTGTAGCCGCGACCTTGTCCTTTCGGTCACGACCCAGAGTTCGTGACCATAGGTGAGGGTAGGAACGTAGACCGAGTGGTAAATTGAGAGCTTTGCCTTCCGGCTCAGCTCCCTCTTCACCAAGTCGGTCAAGTGCAGCGCCTGCTTTACTGCTGCAGCCGCACCGATCCGTCTGTCGATCTCCCGCTCCATCTTACCCTCACTCGTGAACAAGACCCCGAGATACTTGAACTCCTTCGCTTGATGTAGGCACTCCGTCCCCACCTGGAGGGAGCAATCCACCGGTTTCCGGCAGAGCACCATGGCCTCAGATTTGGAGGTGCTAACTCTCATCCCTGCCGTTTCACACTTGGCTGCAAACCGCCCCAGTGAATGCTGGAGGTCACGATCGGAGGAGGCTAACAGGACCACATCATCTGCAAACAGCAGAGGCGATCCCGAGACCCCCGAACCTGACGTTCTCCACCCCCAGGCTGCGCCTAGATATCCTGTCCATGAAAGTCACGAACAGGACCGGAGACAAAGGGCAGCCCTGGCGGAGGCCAACACCCACCGGGAACGTGTCTGACTTATTGCCGAGAATGCGGACACAGCTCCTACTGCTGTTGTACAGAGACCGGATCGCCCGTTGTAATGGGTCCGGCACCCCATACTCCCACAGCACCCCCCACAAGAACCCCCGAGGGACCCGGTCGAAAGCCTTCTCCAAGTCCACAAAGCACATGTAGACTGGTTGGGCAAACTCCCAGAACCCCTCCAGTAGTCTTGCGAGGGTAAAGAGCTGGTCCACTGTTCCACGGCCGGGACAGAATCCGCATTGCTCCTCTTGAATCTGAGGTTCAACAAACGGTCGGAGCCTCCTTTCCAGCACCCTGGCATAAGCCTTCCCCGGGAGGCTGAGTAGTGTGATACCCCAGTAATTCGAGCACACTCTCCGGTCCCCCTTTTTGAAAATGGGAACCACCACCCCGGTCTGCCAGTCCATGGGCACTGATCCCGACCCCCATGCGACATTGAAGAGGCGTGTCAGCCAGGACAGCCCAACTATGTCTAGCGCTTTCAGCATCTCAGGGCGGATCTCATCCACCCCCGGCGCCTTGCCACCAAGGAGCTTTTTGACTACCTCAGCGGCCTCTGCCAGGGATATGGGTGAGCCTCCCCCTAGATCTTCAGGCGCTGCCTCCTCTGCAGAGGACATGTTGGTCGGGTTTAGGAGTTCCTCAAAGTGCTCTTTCCACCGCCCGACGATGTCCCCTGTCCGGGTCAGCAGTCCCCCCCCTCCCCTGCTGAGAACAGCCTGGGGTAAGCCCTGCTTTCCCTTCCTGAGCCGTCGGATGGTTTGCCAGAACCTCCTTGAGGCCAACCGAAAGTCCTTCTCCATGGCCTCCCCGAACTCCTCCCATGCCCGAGTTTTAGCATTCGCGACCACCGCAGCTGCAGCCCTTCTGGCCTGCCGGTACCTGTCAGCTGCTTCGGGAGACCCCTGGGCCAACCAGGCCTTGAAGGTCTCCTTCTTCAGCTTGACGGCTTCCCTCACCTCCGGTGTCCACCACCGGGTTCTCGGGTTGCCGCCACGACAGGCACCAATGACCTTCCGGCCACAGCTCCTAGCGGCCGCGTCCACAATAGAGGCTTTGAACATGGTCCATTCGGATTCCATGTCCCTAACCTCCCTCGGGATGTGTGAGAAGTTCTTCCGGAGGTGCGAGTTAAAGACTTCCCGGACAGGGTCCTCCGCCAGACGTTCCCAGTTCACCCTCACTACACGTTTGTGTCCATATCTCTGTGTGGAATTCAAATTTGTAGAACTTTGACACACAAATTATCACTGTTGAGTCACCCTAAACTCTTGACCTTAGTCGGCACTGTTAAGGCAGGTAACACAGAGCCGGAAGTCTAGATTGAAGGATGCTATTGCAGCTTAATTGCTTTGTTGTGCCATCCACTTTTATGTAACACTAAGCCTGCTCTGTTAGAGCATTAACTGCTCCATTAAAGAGACAGTTTTTAGACAGTTGTTTGACAGTCAATGGTCCAAATATGTCTTTTGAATTAAAATAAATAAACATATTAAAAGAAAGGTATTGAATTAAAAAGATGTACAATCCTGAGAGCTAAATGCCAGAGAGGAGAAGACAGTCCAGGGTAAATAAAAAGAAGCTCAGACCAGTGCTAGCTTTTTCTTAACTTGCTTGTGTGTTTAGCCATTAGCTTGCCGGCTACTGTAGTTACATCACTAACCTTCCAGCACTTCCACTTTTCACTATTAATTTGGCTGTACCACTGTGACTGCGTCTAGAGTCTGAATCTGCCTGTAAAGAGGTGCACGTTTTGAAACAGTGGTAAATGTGAATTACAGTAGCACACGTATCAGGCACACACACACACACGTGGTGTTGTTCATTTTATACAAGCTGCTTCTTCAACGATGCTTTAAATATCAAGTCATCAGTTTCATGAGCTGCATGGATTAAGTACAATAGCTCAAGCAGCACACCATCACTCTTTCCAACCACTCCTCCTGGTGCACAGACACACACATAAACTCACATCCACACACCAAAAAAGATGGTGCTCTAGTCTACAGTAGACATGTGTTTCAACTTCCTTCCTCTCAGAGACAGTCGTGATGCCACAAACACAAGTTGCACGCGGGAAATCAAATGCAGCTGCAAGAATGATGGAGAGCAGACAGAAGGCTGAAAATGTTCTCGATTCTTGAACTTCAGGAGCCAACAGACCCTGAGTTTAGTTTTTTTAGTGTTAGATGTGAAAGTGACTTTATATATGCAGAAGACAATGAAGAAAACACCAGTCTTTGATGTTTACTACAACATATTCATAATCTAGTGAAACTGCAATCGCACTAACCCCAGAGTTGAGTGTGTTCAACATAACATGTTTATATCCACTGCAAAAACAAAGAGTCCTGTACAGTCATCAAGGGACATAATGTCCAGTTCGGATATATTTGCATCACTGCACATGGATTTCAATGGGTTCATTCAAACAGCACAGAGGGGATTTCCTATGCAAGCTGTGAAACCCCCTGTGGTGAAGGGGTGCTCATCCAGTAACATAGGCCTAGATGAGCTGTGCATTCATGACACCTACCGTTTTATCACGTGTCGGCCATCATGTCGGCCACAAAAGTGACAAAGTGATGTGTAAAAACATATTATGTGAAACAAGATTCACGCAGCGATCTGTTCCTGTTAGATAAACCCAGGTTGCATTCTGCATTTGTGTCATTTTCAGTGTTTCTGTGCGAAAAAAGTTCCTGCAGAGTGGGTGGATAACATCAACATGTGTGCGACTCCCGAGCTTAACGACAGACTACCCGACATGCAAATGATGAAAATAAACTTACACAAAAGCATGGTAGATGAACGCCCAGGCTCTCGGTCTCTCCAGCACGTTGTACAGGTAGTTTTGGAGCCGCCGGTAGTGCACGTTTCTCCGGCCGCTCTGCGCGCTGTATATGAGCGGCTTCCCCAGGAGGCTCAGCCGGGCTCCCTGCTTGCCCCTCAGGCTCTCCGACCCGGCAGCACCTGTTGACAGCAAACCGTCTCCCGCGATGCTCATCATCTTTCGTCCGGACTCAACATCTTTCAAGCCGTAGCCTTCGGTACGGTTACCCGGCGATGTCCTCATCCAGAGCCCGGTGCCGCCTTCGTCTCCGCTGTGGTTGCGGGGCATGGCATCACCAAAGCAGGCATCAAGTGCGCGGAGGTCTTTTCAAGCATGCGTGTGGTGGGAGCTGTGCCCTGGACTAACAATACCTTCCACGTGCGAGGCGCAGTCGAATAGGCGCTGGGAGTGAAACCGTTGTCAAGAGCAAGGCACTTTGTTTACCGTCACACTTTGACCGCCCTCTTTCCTCTTGCATCAACCTCTTCTTAAGCCATACACCACCACCACCGCCGCGCGTAAAGGTATCCACGTGTCTGCCCTGTGCACGATGCTGCAATGTTACAAAATAGCAAGTGGTTGTTACAGTTTGTGTGCGGTGGAGCTGAAGGTATTTTTAGCATTCATTTTCAGCTCTCCTATTCCAGTGCGCTTTATCGCCTGTTGCTTCAATACAAAGCTGCGCGTCTGCACGGCAGAAGCACATCAGTGCCAGCGAAGATAAAGAGTTTGATTTTATCTCACCTCCACATTAAGAACAAATGGTAAACCGTCGCTCAGTTGTGTAATTTAATTTCCCGAAAAAGTTCCAAATTACACCACGTTTCTGAAAAACCTATCAGGTGATGGATTCTGATGATTTTTCCACTTGGTCGGCTCACTGAACATCTGCAGAAAAAATTATGCCGTAACCAAATTCAAAGACACTTTTATTTTAAAAAAATAGTAATGTGTAAATCCTACAGTTCCATCAAGCTTTGCACTCAATGTTTTAAGACTGCTCCGTCACCTGCAGTCGCTAACACCAGCATGTGTGAAATACACATTTCTGATGTCTCATGATTCAGCTGTAATATTGCTAATATATTAGAAACGATGCACAGTGAAGACCTGTGTCAGTCTGTTCACAGTAAACTGGCTTGTTGGTCAAGAAGTGAAAGTGAATCGACAAATGCCATATCAGTTATGCCTGCGCGTGGACTTCTCCTGCAGGCGCACATGTAGGCTACACAGTCTCTTCTAGACTTTTTTTGTGCGCTTTGTAATCATCGACCGGATGCATCAGAGCGCTGAATAGCCTACTGTCCACCACAGAAAACACTTGATGAACACATTATTGGGCCAAGCGGACTCGCTCGGTATTTTATCAGCATTAGTCAGCATCGTGTCTCAAATATTAAGTATATAACAGACGGCCAGAGACCACGGTGTACTCTCGTATTTAGAAGCTGTGAGAGTGCAGGACTCTACCTTCAGAGCATTGACTGACTGAACGTCTCCCACTGTCTTCCAACAAAACTACTCCATCTACTGGAGGCCGCAGCACCATGCAGCCTTTGTAGAATATGACAATCTCTCAGGGTTTGGATGCAAAACTTTTCTTTTGCTCTCAGTTCTGATTCTCAGTTTGCTCTTTACATATATGATACTACACAGTAACAGTAACATCACACAGTTTGATGGAGGTTGCGTGTAATATTGGGGATCTAGGGCGTGATACCATATTCTTGTTGCACTAAGTGACCATGTTATTTGCCTGGTAATTACTTTCCTCCTTAGTACTTTTAAATATTGCATCCTTTGCTCTGAAATTTTTGTGGATATCCCAAAGTTTCCAAAGATACCAAATATGTCTGGCTAGAAAACGGGGAAATGTAAGTCTTGGAGTTCAGCATGAAAGCTTATTCTTGACCTTCCAAATAACTGTTCTCGACTTAAGGGTCCACTTACTTGCTTTTTTCCAGGGTTTTCAACCACATTAGGGAACGAAGTTCACTCAGTTGTCATATAGTCAAATCTTATGACATGTTGACATGACACAAGAAGACTTAAAAAAGTGGTGTGGATAAAAATCATAAAAACAACAACAGATCCATCTTTGACAACAAACTAAACTCAATTTACGGATGAGACATTGTGATATGGTTGAAAGCTCTGGAAAAAGTAATTGGTTCTTTGAGTTGGGATTGTTTTGTCAATTGAGGTCTTGGGTTTATGCATTTCACTCACTGTTAACATCAAATACACATACAATAAAGTGGCCACTTTATTGGGTACACTTGTACAACCCATGTAATCCAACACCATAACACCCATCTTTACACAGATCACATTGTCACACAATGGTTAATTGTGTCTAAAAATTGTCTTTCCAATTAACATTCATGGGGGGAGCAGAATATAAGAAATACAAGAGTAGAAACTCGTGTAAATTGTGTCTACTTGAAAAAATGAACTGAGGGCAAAACTGCTGAAATGTACTGTAACTGTACATGTTCAAGTCGGACTCAACCTTTCCTTTCGTTCCTTCTGAGAGAAAGCTGTGATGATTTTGCAAACGGTGCAGATATCATCTAATCTGGTCACGTTATGAGTTGGCTTCCTGCAACCAACGCATGCCGACTGTCATGCACTTTCAACAAGACATTGGAATGGAGAAGAAAAGCCTCACGTTGAACACTTCTCAAAGTAAACAGTCTTTATTCATGTCTGGAGACATGATTCAGCTCAGATGTACTTTTTCTCAAAGTTTTTGTTTGTCTACTTTATTTTTGCCCAGTTTCTTTTGAAAGGTCATCTCAATAGATAATATTAAAATTGAAGTTCCAGTCATGGTCCCCGTTTCCATCGCTGTGTGTGACCTTTGACCTGATTAGAAAGATTAACCCATTTCCTGGGAGCAGCATGGAAATTTCATCATGGCCTCTGACATGCATGATCTGTGGTTCTCTTTTCCACCATAATCCGTATCCATGCTTTGTACATGGAGGTCGTGACCCCTGATGCTTTGACAGGGGGGGGGGGACCGGCAGCCCGGCTGCCATGGCGGGGCTGGTGGGAGGGTTAGTCGAGATTGCATGCAGATGTTGTTTCGGGGGGCCCTCTGCTTATTTAACGAGAGGATGTGGAACATAAATCTCCCAAGCCCTCTGCTGCACTATATTATATGTGAGGTCACACATGAGGCCGCTTTGGTTCAACTTCCTCTTCAGTGAGACGCACTGTAGCAGCAATCGAGGCATAGAGTTTTGGTGTTATAGTACCGTAGTACACGGCTGTCATGTGTTTTAATCAACAACGACTAGACAATAAAACGTTTGCTGTCCAGAAATGTACCTCTCCTATATGAGATTCTATTTTTCCTTGGCATTTTCTTTCGCCAACAAAAAACAAAACCCTGCTGATAAAAGATCAAGAAAATTCACTTTAATGACATGCTTTGTATATATACCATGAAGGAAAAACTATTCCTTTACAAGTAAAAGTATGCAGCTCAATATATTACTTTAAAATAGAACACTTTAGTAGTAAAATGTTCTGCAAGCTGCTTTTTCAGATGTTTTTTTGTTTGCAGATGGAAGCAGGGGTGCATCCGGGGAGTTAAGTTAGGATGATTCAAAGGGCCTGTGACTGACAGGGGCCTTAAACATATTGGAAGAGTAGGGTTTATTATCCAATAGAAAATTATAGCCTGTCATCATTATTATAATATTTTATTTACAATGGACTAATAAAACTAAAGCGTTCTTTATTATTTTTATTCATCTATACAATACTTTATTACATACAGTATATCTATACAATTGATCGCTGGAGCAAACACGTTTGAAAATGCACAACTTTTACTTTGAAGGCGAGCTGTCTCTGTTTCTGACACTCAAGTTCCTTTTACTGTGGGGCACGCTCATAAACTCAATAAACTCATGCACAAATAGTGTTACCAACTTGGTTACTTGTTTGCTGGACTTTTCAGAACCTCTTAACGCCCCAGAAAACGCAGTTACCACTGAGCCACTAAAAATGCTATGTTAACTGTCAATGACTCCTTACCTATGCTGTTTCAAGACCAGTGATTCAGAAACACATTTGCTACGTATAGATGAGGAGGGCGTGCTTACAATTGTACAATCAGCATGATCAGAGATCTAATGCCCATCCACGTATGTATGTCGTGTATGCCGTGGGGTCTGGCCTGTGATGGTGGGGCCCAATGTGATATATTGTTATAGGGCCCAAATTCCCTGGCGGCGCCCCTGCTTGGGAGCAGTGCTATAAGAACACAACATTGACATATCTTTAGGTTATTCTGACAACCATGTTAGCATGCTGACTGCAGACACAGAGCAACATTATCATTCATTTTAAGTCATGTTTGTATCCAAATGTCAATTTATTTCTCATTTTAGCTCATTTCTTTGCTGCCCACCATGTCTTGTGAGACATTTCTGGCTGCCTAGCTGCTAAATGATTCACAACTGTATGTTCACCAGCTAGTTGCTAACTTTGTATGTCTGCTGTTTGGTGCTGGTATAGCACTCAATAGGTTTATCAGAGCTTTCAGTCAGGAACTCTGAAACTCTCTTCATAGATTTTTAACCTTTTATTGCAACAAATGGAAATACAGTTCAACTTGATGCTGGTGGCTCCGCTCTTAAAATGCTCCCTGGATTTAGCCAAGCAGCCACCAAGCCAAAACAGGGATCACCCCACGGGAATGAGCCCAAAGTAAACTTGAATACCATTTCAACCCTTTGCTATTCAGAATGAACTCTGAACTAAAGAAGGGTGGAGGCTGGGGTGGAGGAGGCAAAGCTTTGCCAGTAGTATGGTGTGTAACAGCATTAGTGTATAAAGGATCAGTGTGGAGGAAGTCATATTTAAATGAACCTCGTTGAGGTGAGAGTGGGCTGTGATTGGTGTGTGGCCGATTGGAAGCGATGATTCAGTCGGCTGGCTGTCAGCTGGTTACAGCTGGGGGCGTATGACTTCCGTGTCCTGCATGAACTAACGCGATGCTTCATTTTTCGCTGAAAACAGCTGCCTGCTGCTGTTGGACACAAGGTCGATGAGAGCTGTGGGACTGAACCAAAACAATAAATGTGCAGGCTGTAAATCAAAACCCATTTAAAGTAAAGTGATAAATGTAAAATCTATGGTATGGTGGTCTTGTTTTTTTCAAAATAGGTTTTTCACTTTGATCTTTTGACATTATGTCAAACTTAGATGCAGGCTGAAAAAAATAATAAATAGTAAAAAAATGGATTTCTTTAGTGTCGAGATTTATGGGAGACACTGAAAAGGCGATTTGAGAGGCAGTTTTCTTCCACACATTCTTTTTATTTGTAAATAATAAAAATGAACTTTTTTTTTTAAATATAAAACATACACATCATTTGAGCCACATCTGTTATACAAACAAGTAATGTTGCAGTGAATGCTTTACTTTTTTTCTAATTCTCTTTTTGTTTCAGTGGAACACAGAAGTTGTAAACAATCAGCAATTTTTTTTTCCTGTTAATACTGACAAAGAAAAATAAAAAAAGGAAAAAAACCAGCTTCACCGGACGATGAAAAGAAAAGTCAACTCTTCTGAACATGGCCGGGGGGTTCAGACAGTGGGTTTGAAGCACAAAGTGTTCAGACGACAACTTTTAGAGTGGTGGTACACCTGTAGTTTTTGCAGCCAGTTTGTGGCCCAAGTCCATCGTCTTGTTTTGTCCCACTGCATGGTCCCTAATGACGTATTAATCGCTCCTCATTATATGACTTGGCCCCTTTGCAAATATCACTGAACCCAATGAAATTCCAGTGAATGGCTGTTGAGTATTTACAGTGTGTGACTCTCTGTGCATCTGCGTTTATTCTTTATATAACTTAACAGTTCATGTGTTAGCATATCTGAAATCATTATGTTGAAACATAATTCATATTTCCATATAAGTGGATCTGATTTGTAGATATTTATTTATACATCATCTCAGCCCCTTGGAGGTATATTCTGATGTGGAATAACAGTAGGAGGGGATGTGAGGTCTGCTCAGTTCTACTGTACATCTAGCAGAGGGTCTAGGAAAGACATCACCGTAATCTTGGGATTTAGTTTGAGAGACATTCAGCACCGGACTGAGGGATGTGGAATTGACTGCAGTTGTGTTCATATGTCTTTGTGTAATGGGAATGGCTTCGGTTTCTTGGTTTTATCTCTTTAATATTCAAGTACGAGCAAACTGTACAACTGCATGCAACATACAAGCGGCCCTACAGTATGTGGAACTAACACACGTATCTAGTTCAGCATCTTTTTTTCTGTATCTGTTTTGTTTTACAAAAATGTGCATGCAGCTTGGAACAGGTTCCAAAGTCATGCTGGCCCCGCAATTGTTCCTGCTGGGAGGAGTCTGCGGGCCGAACAGAGGATGAGCATTGGTGATGGTGTCCCAACAGATTAGTCTGATTGGTTACTTTCACATTCACAGAGATGCAGAAGCGAAACTGTGTGTGACTCTTATTTTTGACTGTTTATTTGTCTGTTTCGTAACAACTTGACTAAGAAATGAATGGAACCAGTGACAGGATTGTTGCTTTTTCTCTCTTTTTTTAACTACATGTTTTGTTTTTGTTTTTTTTCAAAAAGTTAAACTTTTTGTTGTAAAAAATCAAGCTCTTGTGCTTTTCTTTAAATTTTAAAATAATGTAAACTAAGGGTTGGATAAAAACGTGCTGGGGTGAGGGAATGCACTCCCCAAAAAATGTGAAAAATTAGACGGCCCTTGCTCTTGCGTTTACTTTTTTCGTATTTTGTACAGTGATGTTGAACCCTTGTGATATTTCAAAGTGACATAAATTGTATTTATTGGTCAACCTCCTGGGAGGCTTAATATACATCTATACAAAGACGACTGGCCTGGACCTTTGCCAGTGGTGAAACGAGGAAAACAACGCTGCACGCAAATCTCACTGTCAACTGTAAAAATCTAAGCTGTGTCATCATCACTAGTCCCCCCCCCTGCATAACACTTGCAGACATTTAATCGTTTTTTATCTCTTGTGTTTTGTTTTTTCTCTCCATGCACACACCAGACTGACAACATTATCATGAGCATTTCACGTACTATAAAAACATTTTGTGCCGGTAGTAACAAAGGGAAAAGAAATGGACGAGAAAGCAAACACGCTAAAACAGTGTGGCTTCAGAACAGCCACGGTAAAAATACTGAAAAGAGGAGTTTTCAACAGAGAGAGGGACCAGTGATGCGGCTCCATGGTCTAGGCACCAGAAGAAGGCCCTGTGCTTCCAGACTGAATACCCACGCGCAAGCGCCCTGCTTGAAGGCAGGAGTGTCGGCAGTCTGTAGGGGTTCTGGAGGAGGCCACTGCAGAGAAGACTGCGCCACCTGCAGGTGTGGAGGGTGATTATCTCTGTCTCGAGTCCATACATTCCGATGCTTAACGTACATTTCTTTGCTATTGTTGATTCAGTTAAAAATCACCCTGCTTTATTTGATTCTCTGTCGTCTCCCGTCTCGAGAGCTACTTCTTGTTGTCTGTTGACAGCCCTGCTTCTTCAGCATACACAGAGAAAAAATATTTTCTTAATGGATATGAAACACTGAAATGTGGCGCTCCCTACAACAGACAAAATGAACCACGACAGGAGTGATTGTCAGATCTCAACAAAGCTTTCTGGTTGTGATGCTTCTGATTGTTGTTGTTGCTCTACATTTCCGCCATCTTTTTGTTTTTGTTAGTTTCTCTCTACAGTAGGTTTCATGAGTTTTTTACTTGTCGAGAGGTGTAGAGCTGTTGGTCCACTAGGATCGGACTCCAGGAGGTCCAGAGGAGCTGTCCAGTGACGACTGGGAAGCCCGTCGCGTTAGGGAGGCAAGTGTTGGATCGACCAACGATGACGGGGGGAACAACTTGTACCAGCCAATGACTGTGCTTGATAAGTCCAGCTCCTCCAATAGGATTTGTGCAACTCCCATGAAGCTTTTATGGTCCATGCGGCCGTAGTCGCCCCATACAATCACCTTAAGAACATATATTTTCTGTCAAATTACACAGCAGTCTAGTTCCTCCTACTATACAATATTTAATCATTATGAAGTTGGAATAAAACATTTACATTTTTGATGAAGATAAATATGGTGAGGGCTCACCTGTAAGACTTTACCCTGTGGGCTTTCCTCGAATAGCAGTGCTTGCTGGTACAGTGGGTCAAGTGTTTTCCGTGCAATCTTGGTTTTCTTTTTGGCTACGTACGCTCCATTATTTAGTAGATAGACCTTGACATATGGAGCTGAAGGCAGAGACAAAGCAATAAAAAAGCCATTAGTGGGGAACACAGCGACTCTCCAATATAATCTAGATCAGATCTCACAGCTGGTTGCATCATTATGGGAAGGGAAAGTACAGAGCAAGCTTTGGCTGGGTGTATTTACTGGATTTCACTGATTGTAGAGTGTATATACTATATCCTAATCTGAAGATTGCATGATTGATATATTGAGAGGGAGGGAGTGATTCGTTGCTTTCTGGTATCTCAAGGATGGTCAGGTTCTCACCAGGGAGGGATTTGGATCCTGGCTTTTGTACGAGTCCTCGAGCCCTGATAACTTCAACCTCCAGCTGACCCTTTTTCTCCATCATACCAATCTGGATGTCACCTGGGAAGCACAGAAAAGTGAAAAGAAGACTTGTCATATGAAAGCAAGAGATCAATGGTTGCCACAAGTATAACAAGTCAGAACAAATAAACAACACGGGCGGTAGTGACTGCACACTCAGCCCATAAAAACATGTGTGAAGAGATTTTTCTATTAACACAGATGAGATTAACAATATTATACAATATTAGTATATTGCATACTTGATATTTAATTATATTGCACTATATTATTACATCATCAATTATCTTGTACCGTTGCAGTATATAGTTACTAGTTACATATAGTACATATAATATAACATTACATTAAATACATATCTAATCTAATATTGTTATTATTATTATTGTTATTATTATATTTGAGTTCACCCAAATTTTCTGCCTGGGTATCAAAAGGCTCTTATCTTAACTTCAAACCAAAAATGAAATAATTAACAATTACTGTGTAAATAATAACATATAATCAATAGGAAATTGAAAAATAAAATCAAAGCTATATATGTATACTAAAATGAATATCCAAAATATATATTATAATGCAAAAGAATAGGAATAATTAATTAAGAAAAAAAAGATTAATGAATTATTAAAAAACATATACAAACAAACACATAAGAGAACATAAAAATACAAAATACAAAAGAGAAGCGTATCATCAGTATCTTACCTATTGCAGGAGTAGCCAGTGTTTGTCTTCCCACTAGCTGAGCCGGTCCCAAGCCATCCAGGAAATCACTGAACTGACTGCTGGCACCCACATTGACTCCCGAGAAGATCAAACTAACACAGAAAGCACACAAACATGAATTAATGATCACAACACAATGGCCAATTATCCCCACACAGTCAGAATACTTTGAGGATTCAGAACACATTTTGCTGCTTTCAGGAGAACCCTTTTGCTTCATTATTTAAAGCATGAAAAACAATCTCAAAAATTGCCCAAACAAGAGAATCCATCACAGAAAACACCAGGCCTGAATTTGATTCAGTCAAAACATGTGTTTTACCTTTGCCTAAATGAGCCCAGGTGCTTTTTTTCAATCTGTGCTCATTATATTACTGTTTACCGTCAGTCGCCTGACATATACATGCCGAGATTTGTCAGTGTACGCCTGGATATAATCCACAACATGCTGGCATACAAACATACAACATGTCACATCCACGACATTTTATTCAGGGTGGTTTAGTTGGGTGTGACAGCAGCTACAGTAACTTTAACGGTGTAGCATTTGCTGTTTGAAACTAATGAAAAAAAATATATATAAACATTGCAGCCTGAAAACACAGGTGGAAATATAACAGATATAATTACACTATCATTTGGAATTCTCCTTTAAGAGAGAAAAATGATAAGGGAGGGAGTTTGGTATAGAGTGTGTGTAGATGGTTGATTAAAGAAGGAAGTGGTTGGTTTACTGACTTCCCCTCAGAGTTGCAGCTGTTCATGCTGCCATTGTTGGACTCTCTGCTGGGCTGGCGGCTCATGTTCCTGGTCAGCTCTACTGCCATGCCGGTCTCTGTGCTCCTTTGGATAGGTGCACCCTTCTCCTTCTTACTCTTCCCTTCTGGATAAAAGAGTACAGACAGGATTCGTCACAATGTTGTAGTCAGAGGTGTTGTAGTTATTTTTCACCTTTATTAAATATATATAAAATGTGCAGATGTGTCTCATGCTCATTCCGTTTACAGTAGAAGGAGGGTACATGAAGGTACAAGTCTGTTGAAAAACAGCGTTGATGAAATCAGTTATACCTAAAATTCAAAAGATGAATCTATTGTTAACGCTTGACAGCAACTATTTTTCCTTAAAGATCTGTTTGAAAACCCTCAAAAGACAACACTATGATTCAAGTCGAATTCTTAAAGGGACAGTGTGTAAGATTGGGCGGCCACGGTGTGGGGTCAGATTGCACGTTGCTCAAGGTTGCAGTTTCACAAGGGTGTTGACAAACTACAGTGGCCTTCAGGTAACATAAAAACCCAAAAGGCTCTCTCTAGAGCCAGTGTATGGTTTGTCTGTTCTGGGCTACTGTAGAAACATGCCAGTGAACCTGTAAAGAGGACCCGCTCCCTATGTAGATATGAAGGCCTCATTCTAATGTAATGAAAACACAACAATTCTAAGTTTCAGGTGACTAAACACTAATGAAAACATATTTATGAATATCATAATTTATTTCTGCTAATAGATCCCATATAGGTCCTTCAAAGGGAAATGTCACCACCTCTTATGTGGATGTCCAATCAGTATTGATGGTACATGTAGTCAATTTAAGCAATAAACTCCTCAGTGGGTGCTATCTTATATTATATTATATAGACAAAATCCAAGCTCAAGTAGCAGCCTGTAGTTCTTCTTTGCATCTAACTATGTTACTGTCACATCAAATGACGGCACTGGATGCAGGAAATACAACAGATTTTTTCAGCTTACTCCGTCAATATAGCACACACTGCCAATTGACTACATTTACCATCAACACTGATTGGACTTCCACACCAAAGGTGGCAAATTTCCTCTCTATTTTGGGAAATACGCTTATTCGCTTTCTTGCCAACAGTTAGATGAAAAGATCATTACCACGCCCACATCTTTATGCTAAATAATATTCTAAACTAAGCCAGCTGAAAAATGTCAAATGTCAAACGATTCTTTAAATCGTTTCACTACTGATACCCCAAAATGTGTTCATTTTAGAATAGAAAATCAGAGGTTTAAGAGAACTTTTGTGGGTATCCTGTCTTTAAGTGACATTTCTTTGATGGTTATTCTTTCAGACTTGAGAACATTCCTCCAGAGCCACACATTATACAGCTGTTTTCAGAGGCTGCATAGTGCCCCACATTACATTTAAACTGAACTCCATGTGTAAAATCAGTGCAGTGCCCCTTTAAACCCAACACAATTTTCCATCTAGAACATGACAAATCACAGGTTAAGAAGAAAGTTTTCCTTTAACCCATGTGATTAGGTAACAACAAAGATTGTAGGGAAATTGCCCATCTTCCAGAGCACATCACTAATGGGGCATAGCCTTTTTCATATCAAGCAATTCACTAGTGGAATGAAAAAGTAGAAAATGACATGGCAGCCTAGAGCTTCAGTTGAGGACATCATGATCTCTCTTTCTGAAGCACGGCCAAAGACACACCCATGTCCTGCTGAATATGGTAATCAGTAGTGAACAGGAAATTGTTGGGCAGAAAAACTACCCAAACAACAGCATGTGGCATCTTGGACTGGGATGCGTCCAACTTCCAACTCATAATATTGGTATGAATGGTGCAAAGAGAAAAATGTAGCTGCATTTCTGAGCCTCCCATCATCCCTTGTGTATTCTTAGCATGAGATGATTTTTTACATCCTTGAGCATAAGTCCCTTACCTGCTTTTTCTCTCATCTATCATGAAAAATAAATATTTTTTTTAAATGAAGTTTTATCTTTGCACTATCTCTACTTCCTCTCTCCCCTCTCTACATCAGGAGGAGAGGCCCCTTTAGGCTTAATGTTCTCTAAAAGCTTTTTATGTCTGCTACAAAGAAGGAGGAGTACAGTGTTTGGCTTTCATCATGAGTCTCAGTGGTAAAAGTGCATGCTGGAGTCAGACCAGCCAGACACTGTTTGGGGACTGGGAGCGAAGCTGCTCAGCCAAGATGTTCTGAAACATATTATTTGGTTGTTTTTCTTTATAAAAAGCACTAAGGCAGTAGAGGTTTGTCTTTTACACAACAAAAGGACACTTGCATTTTGTGGTGCTTCACTACAGTCTGCTCCTCAGGACAAAACTCCCCAGTTTGCATCTAGAAAGGGTAGAATTTCATTCCCCATCTATTTACTCCCCTGGTTTTCTGTTATGTGTCTACTTTTGACTATAAAAAATGGCATAAAATGCCTCCAGCTACATGAACTTGAACTACATGAAGTCGTTTGAAACCCCTGCTGTATATAGATGTAACATCACACAACAATTTCTGTACAACAGTATTTAAGAGGTGGGTGTAATGGGCGTCATTCAAACAAATGTGGCCACAAACAAACACCTCTTTGGGCCTAAATATAATCTCAATTACTTCTAAACTCGTCACTCAGACTCATACAGGTCAAAGTAGCTGTTGTCATCCCCCAATATAATGTACATTTCATCATAATATTTTCTGTTTATCCTATTTTAGGAGCAAATGTACCACATTCACATAACAAATAGCTCGTGGGATATACAGTCACCAGTGACTATTTCAGGGTTGCGATGGCAACTCACCTGGGCCGCTGATCTGTGAAGTGCTGCGACTGCGACGGTTGCCAACGATGGCCACCACCCGCGCGCTGAGGCTGGAGCGTCTCTTCTTACTGCCCCCACCCACCGTGCCCAGCGCTGTGTCTGATTGGCTGCCGTCAGTGCGCTCCTGGGTGTAGATCTCTCCGCTCACGCTGGAGCTCTTCAGCATGCTGCGGCCCACCGACGATCGCATCTGCCGACTTGAGAGAGAAGACGCTGAGTGACACTGTGATCTGGTGTAATGGAGAAGAGCTATTATCATGGTCTCTGTAACTTCTTCTGTACTGTACCTTCAAAAACAGGAGTATTGACAAGAAGTGGTGCATGATTGTAATATTTCAAACTACCTGTTATTGAGGAGTGAGGTTTAATTGCACAACAAGTGAATCAAATAACGGTATAAGCCTGGGATCCCAAAGATAAATGAGGATGACATATCCTAAATTACAAAAAATTTGAAATACAGATTTGCTTGTTTTGATGCAACACAATTGTGCTGTCATGTGGGCCAAGGAAAAGAGAGAGCAGCCTGTTTATGGTTAAATGTTCTAGCAGTCCAAAGCTGGTAATCATATCATGTACTAAAGTTCATTCTTCTCAAACGAGCCACTACACGCGGGCAGAAGCTGCCCAGCGATCGATGCTGCCTCCGAGGGGTTCGGATGAGCCATCGCATGTCCATCTCCTCAGAGGGGGTCAAAGTGCTGCAGGAGAGCCCAGCTATGCTGCCCCTATCACCCATAGCGCCTACTCCCAGTGGGCCCCTAACAGCCACAGTCCAGTGGTCCACGGGAACCAGTGAACAACTGGAAAGTGGGAGGGTGGTTTGAGGCCTCTCAACCGCCCCCTGCAGGGGGGTTAGAGAACGGCGTGCAGTAGCGGGAGAGGATGGGAGGGGAGGATCCAGGTCTGGAGGATGGAGGGGGTCCTGGCAGTCACAACACGGGATGCATGCAAGGAGGGATCGGAAGGATCTGAGACATGCAGAGGGGATTGCACAAACATACACAGAAAACAAGGGCCAAATATAATATAAATGACAAACAATATTTTACAAAATGTAAATGGATATATGTTACAATGTTGGATTTATGGGTAGCCTATCGAAAATGTTTAGCCATATCATATTTGTTGTTTTGCCTTTTTTGTATTTTAAGAAGGAATGTAACCAAACTAATACCCATGAAACTGTTGGATGGACATCAGCAGGAAAATGATGTTCCTGCTGATCCTGAAAATCAGTTTTTGTGGTTCAATTCTTAAAGGTCAACCTTTTGAAATACGTCTTTTCATCCAACATCAAGAGATCCTAAGTATATGCAAACCAATACAATGAAAGGCGGAAAATCTGAAGATTAATTTTACTCGATTTGAGCAAAAGTGCGAACATGAGCAGCGTTCAGTGAATTATATGAAATTGATGAGGAGCAGTAGATCAAAAATATTGGCATATCAAGCAGGGAAACAGGTTGAACAACATAGGTAATAGATGAAGACGTAAGAAGGGTACAAGTGATTCCTTCATCTGTATGTACTCAGTCACTTCTGTTATCCAACTGGCCTGAAGCAGATGTGAGTATCCACCGAATACAGATAATAATATGCGACTCTGAGTGAAAACAGACCCAAGGCCAGCCGTCCTTGTTCATCACTAGATTACCAATTCCTCTCTAAAAACAGGTCCCTTGTCTGAATTATAAATCAGCCACTTTAGTCCCTTTTCATAAATGGTTGCTGACTCCATTATCTGTTTTTTTACTGTTTGTGTGATGACAGCCTTAGAAAACAGGGTTATACTCGGGCATCCTCATACTTTTGCCCATATGTTTGTGATAGGGCTTGCTATTTTATTGATAAATATAACAATAAAAAAGAGAGACCCACTGTCTCTCTGTCTCTCTCTGCCCGCCTCTCTCTCTCTCACTTCTGACTCTAGAAAGTGTGTCAAAGGCTGTGGGGCTGTGCTTTTACAACGGTCTACTTGGATTGATCTGGGCTAAAGCCATTAAGACTGGGGCCCCCCTCTCTTCTCCTCCCACACCTCAATACATTAGCCAGCTAATACGCTGCACTACATCAACACTTGGCCCACTGACGACCACTGGGACAGGGTCGTTTGTCTATGTCAGCACACTGCTACTGGTCAGCCGGGGATGTGTGTGTGTGTGCATTTGTGTGTGTGCACATAAAGAGAACGCAGGGATCGTTTGTGAGTTTTTATTTATGTCTACCTTTTAATTATTTATTTTAGTTCGGTTTGACTTTTAGTTTTGCAAATGTTTCAAAGTTCTGGTTTTATTTAATTTTGAATTACAGTTTCATATTTTGTTTGCATTTTTTAAAGGTATGTGCTGTTTTAAATCGATATTCATTTATTAATATAGTCCTCGACAAATACAACGTTGTGAAGACTTCAGATTTGTACAATGTATTCTTGTTTTATGCTGCATGCAAATTTAAAAAATCTATGAGTAATTATATTCATAAAAAAAGAGTTTTCATTTAATTTCGTTTTTATCAACTCTTGTTAACATATCAATTTTCGTTAACAAAAGTGTTGTTTAACACTAAGGTGTTAAATAGAAACATAGAAATAAGTTTCTATGGCCATTCAGTGTGTTACCTCCACGTGGTTGGGGGACTTTAAAAATTGAATGGTTGTACAGAGACAGAGCACAATTAGGCCCCACCTACACCGGATGGGAAAACAACAAACTTGTGTGACGGTGCCTCCTTGTGACTTTCATCTGCTAGCACAAAGAGACACTGCTGTATGGTGGGATGCACTACCAACAGGAAAAACCGAAAAACTGAGCCTTTAAAGAACCAAAAGGGAGGCATCAGCAGGAAGAATGGGAAAACTGTGGGATCATGACACTGAGTATGACTAACGATATGTGTGCAGCAAGAATGTAGTCAAAATGTTACTTTATTACTTTATTTCTGTTAATTAAACTAAAGCATTTTGACAGAATGCAACTTGTGTTATAGTGGAATGTAGATGAATCAGAAAGCTATGCAGTATTATGTTTGCAAGTGCCTTAGTGGTTTTCAGATTATGTTGCGCTCTGTCTTTATGGTTCAAGTTAAAAACCTTGGATCCTACACTTCCCATAATGCAACATGATAGCATCTTCCATTAGATCCCAGTCTGTAATGCATGTTTTTTGTTAAAATGTGTAGTTCTCTGATGACATCATCAGGGTTGAGGAGGACTCTTCATGACAAATAAATTAATCATGTGTAAAATCGGTGGAGTGATAACTTTTAGAGCAGGTAAGTTAGTAATGATGATGCTCTAGAATGTGTGGATGTGTGACAAAGCACAAAATGAGACACTGGGTCCAACATTTAAGGAAATGCTTCCATTCAACCAGATATTCTCATGTTAATAACTGAAGGGACAACGTCTTTCAGCTGGAAGATCCAAGTTCAACCCCAGTGTCAGTGAGTATCTCCTCTGCTGAAGTGTCCTTGAGCAAGACTACAAGTTCAAGCTGACCTCTAACTTCCCTTTGAAGGCTGCAAGCAACATGAAAATACTACTTTTTCCTTAGAGAGATCAATAAGGAATTGTCTGTAATTGCTGCCATTACAAAGTTTTCGTTGTGTTTTGTAGTCTTAAAAAAATGGGGGATTTAGGGAATCTATCTTGGGGATCCAGATCAGGTTGTTCAGTAAGAAGATGGATTGTCTGCCATCATCAGTGAATTCACCATTTGTGATCTATTGATCTTTACCTGGACTCCCCCGTGTCTCCAGCTACAGTGTGTCTCCTGCGCTTCAACTCATCAGAGAATCGTCTCTTTCCTGCAGCCCTCCTCCTCTCCTCCTCTCCATTCACCCCCCACGAGATCCTCCTGTCCCTCCTCTCCTCCTCTAGTGATTTGGATCTGAGTTCAGTTTGTTTTGATTCCCACCATTCAGCGTATGTGTGTGTGTGTGAGGAGAGAGGAGATAGAGTATGCACAAGGACAGAAACATGCAGCAGTTGGCATGCAGGAATAAAACAGAAAGACACACAGTGATTAGCATGCATATAACACTGATATAACACTGACTGAAATCCACAGCACCTTCAACATCTTAACTGAACATATGACCAACATCCAATGAGGACTGACCTGAGTCGTCCTCCGGGTCGTTCTGATTGGATAGACATGTAGCTGGTGCTACTGAGACGGGAGGCACTGCTGGCTCGGGAGAGGGCCGACGCATCGCTCATATCGCTGTCTGACGATCTGGCCGACATGTTGTCGCTGCTACGCCTCTGTTCTGCGTACATCTACGGACAGAGACGAGGGGGGAATTAGACATATAGTACATATCATTTATCAAGTGCAAGAGACGGAGGAGAGGATCTGAAAACAACTGGGAAACTCAGATGCTGACCTCCCGTTTGGTCTTGAGGTCCGTCTCAGGGTCGTGGGAGGCTGAAGGCCGGTAGGAATGTACGTTCATCTGCAGCTGTCGGGCTCGCTCCTCTACTGCGAGGGCTGAGACAAAAGAGACAAAAACGATTAAGATATGAAGAATATCTTATGTTATATTAAAAAAAATAGAAAAACAAGGGAGAATAAATCAGAAACAGCAGTGTGTTCCCCATAAGAGAAACCTCAGGGAATATCTTGAAGATGCAGGATCTGGTTTCTGACACTAGATGGAGCATGATGTGCACTGATGGCACTCAAGTGACATAAAGAAAATTGTTTGTTTGTTACGTAAGTGGCGTTACTTGAGTACGTTAGTTCCGTAGGAGTAAAGTAAAATAAGTTAAAGTTTCACACAGGACATGAACAGCGGTCCCTTGGTTGAAAGTCCTGTTTGTTTGACCCATCCACCATATGCTGACTTTCTCACTCTTCATTCTATGTCAGTTGATCTGACCGTCGAATAATTACATTGGAATAAGTTAAAAGCCTGCTGCGTCTACGCTAAACGCTATCAGATGCCGAGAGACACTGATAAAGCCTTGATAGTTGAAGAGATGGGAGTGAGAATGGGTTGCTCTTCAAGATCACTTCAATTTAACCTTTTGCTCAAGGCCTTATCAATATTTTTGTATTTTAGTTTTGGGTGTAAGTGAACTTTCATTCACATACACTGCAATAGGAAATATACAGGGACACATTTAGAATGTTAACGTTTAAAACTCTGAAATGGTCGATGGGCTGCCCTACCCTAATCTGATTGGAGGAGCTTTTCAAGGCTAAATACATCCGACTACTCAAGGAGAAAAGAAAACCTCTTGCCTTATGTTTTTGGGAAATATTAAATTTAATAAAACAGAGAACTAAATGTATATTTTGTTATAATGTTATATGCTAACTTCACCCATTATGACTTTATTGTGTCCCCCAACTTTTTAAATCAAACCTACATCATCCTTGCGGACAACATACCTTGCTCTATACTGCTGCTTTTTGCAGGGAGCTGAGGCAGTTGCCTGCCCCTGCGACCTGATGAGAGCATCCCCGTTGGAGAAGAGGGGCTGCCATGAGGGTGTGCTCTGACAGACAGGAACATAAAGACACAAGAAGATAGCAGAAGAGGTATAAAAACATATCATCATAACTGTGTCCATCACTAACTGAAGTAAAGCCCGAAAACTGAATCACAGAGACAATAAACTGAAGCTCAGTAATGTAGGTCAAAGGTAGGCGAGGAATAGATCGGAATAAGTAAAGGAGCAGGAGATGTAAAGGAAGTGGCACTGAGTGTGTTTAAAGACAGTATGCACAGTATCTCAGTTTTTCTATATATCCCAGTTACTTTACTAGACTATACTATAAAATAAACATTACTATCCACAGCTCCATACCTGATGGAACCCCAAATTGACTACATAAACCACTGTTGAACAGTATAATACATTGACATGACTACCTCAGTTAACATGGTTGTTATAGTTCTTTCTTGGAATTAACTTAAACTTGATTTTGGCGTGATGTGATACTTGTGCATACAGTATTACCACACTCAGTGTGACATAGAGGAAATCAGCACACGGAGTGGAGGTGTAGTGCTGGCTGGAGCATGCACCTGTCTAGCCGTGGCGAGTTTGGGCAGGACCCAGCCAAGGCTGTCTGGCCAAAGGGCCTCAACGGGCCCCCTCTCCCCCTACTGCCCCTCAGGATAGAGGTGGGCTGGATACGGCTGCCATCAGCAAATAAAAAGAAATGAAAATATAAAACCTTATAAATAAAGCAAAATATACAACACTTATTTTGTGTGCCATTTAGACTGTGCACAGGTCCATAATGATAAGTGTATGCAGAGAGCGTGCAACGGACGTTAAACTCAAACAATCATCGCTCAAATACAGCTGGGGCACTCTGCTTCAACATACTAGGAACTATCTTAAGTGCTTAGCTGAGCAAAATACAGTAATTATGTCAAAGATATTTTTTCTTAAGTTAACTTTGATTTGATTTAACTTTACTATCAGAATATTTCTCTAGAATCTGTTTTGCGTCCCAAGACGTACAATGTTTCACATACATAACAAAACACAACATTTAACCAAACAACAAAACAAAAGCCCACTACGAATCATATTACAGACATTACAAATAAGTGGATGAAGTGCAAAATATTTAATCACTCCCTTTTACATTCTTAAAACCTAAACTCTGATTTGACTCAAGCGTTTGACCCACAATCATTGAGCAGATCCATAGAAGTGGAGCCAGTCTAACTTTAAGCTGAACATAGAGACAACTGTACCATGCCCTGATTCCATACAGCACAACACTTATTAATGGTTGGAAAAACAAAACCAAGATCTGTTTGTTTGGTCGAAATGACCTCTCCTAAGAAAGTAAATGTGTCGTTGTACTTTGCAACAGATATAATCTATATGTGCACCATAAGATAAAGCAGCGTCCCCATAGATGCTTAAAATATTTAAAGTGGTTCAATCTGTGTGCTATTATTGACAGCAACAGGTGGAGGATAAGAGCTCAATGGAAGACCAAAAATAATTTTGTGTCTTCTTTGGATTAATAATTACAAAATCACTTCACCAATCTATCAGTACAATAATGATGAATACTCGCATTCTTTAGTGCCTAACAAACACAATAGTGCCGTATCATCTGAACACACAAAATAAATGTATTTGGAATATTAGTCTTCCAATTGTTTGCAAGTGTGAAGAGTAGATGTGAGCTCACACAACCCTATGGTGCTCCTGAGTTATTAACAAGTTTTAACTTTAAAGGTGTTAAATTACTATTTAACAATGTGAAGATAGAACAATGTCTACCTGAGCAGAGAATGAAATTGCTCTCCCTCTGTGTGTTGCAATCTGAGCTGTTTGTGCATGTGAGTCCTAGCGTGTGTGCCCCACTGGCTAGCTAATCGCTGCCACTCTGCACTGCTCGGTGGTTACAGCTGTGGAGTTGTAGTCGCGGAAGTGTAACCCTCCGGTTCCCCCAGGTAAGCACCGTCAGCACTGTTGTCTTTGTTGGCACTGTTAATGCTGTTAGCACTGTACGCTGTTGACTGACGACTTAGTTGCCATACTGAGAGCCATGTGAAGGCAATCCCTCAATCATAGATATATGCTCTGAATTTTGAATTTAGCACCTTTAAACATTTGTACTCTATTTGTAACAAATGAATGGTAATACTGAATCAGAAGAGGATTATTCTCCATTATGTTTCCAATGTGTTTCTGCATAGTGTTAAGAGGGAGCTTTTTTGGTTTTCAGCTATCATTCAAGGGCACATACTGCACAAGCCGTGACTTAAAAGAAGGAAAACAAATCAATAACCAGTCAATAACAACAACCAGTCACAGGCGGTAGATATCATCCCTCAGGGACGAAGAGAAAAAGCAGCAGTAATGAGAAGAGTTTGAATAAGGTGAGTCAGTGAAGGAATGAATGAATGAATGATCTTACCTGTCCCCTTCCAGGCTTCTTTTGCTGCCCCTGTGACAGTTTGGACTTGATGAATTGCTACACTGCCTGTTTTAGCAAACAGCAACCACAGAGAGAGGAGTAGTAGAGAGGAATAGAAAATAAAAAATAAAAATATGGAGAGTGACGACCCACAGAATGGCAAAAGTGAATACTGACTGATGTGTTTGATATAATGTAAAAAGCACAAGCTGAGACTTTATGGTTTGGTTTCTGTGGTTTGTAAAAGCAACAGAGCTGAGAATTGCACATTCCAGAAACATTTTCCCACCAGCAACAGTGTTACAGAAAAGAAAGCGTTTTAAAGCCAGAGAAGTGGGGGAAATTCAGAACGGGCGCACAGCAGAAAGGGCAGGTGGAGCAGAATAAAAGAGGGATTACACAGCTTTAGACAACAAATATTTACAGGGGAAAGGAACAGACACAAGATCTGTGCAACGCTATCATTTTAGATTGAGCGCTAAGCTACAGAATGGGCTTTGAAGGTACAAGCAGGCAAGCAGAGCTGCAGAGCTGTAGCGTATAGTGTTTTAAGAGCTGGGGACAGCAGCAGGAGGAAGGCCTGGTACCTGTCTTCCTCAGGGGCCACATGTTCTACTAAGATCCTGGGGCTTGGGGGAGTCTTGCGGGGCAAAGAGTTGGAGCACCTAGAGGGGCGGAAGGGTGGAAGAGGAGCATCCCAAGGTTAGGAACACCGGGAGAGGTTGTTAGTGTGCGAAGGTCAAGGATTTGAAATTGTGAATTCTCTTTAAGTTTTATGGCACAATATCAGTCAAGCTTGACTTGACTGATGGCACATTTAAGGTTATGTTAAAAATCTGAGCATCACAAGCACTAACTGCACAAAGCAACCCTGTCTTTTAAAAACTACGTTCCGTTATAACATAACTTCATTATCAATTACTTTTCGAGGGAAACATATCTTCTCCTGGATTAAAGGCAGTGGTTAAACGTGGTTAAAGTTGTAAAACTTAAACAAAACAACTTGGCTAGGTTTAGTAAAAGATCCTGGCTTGGGTTTAAATAAGTATGCCTGTTACATAACTAAAGTTACATACACAAGTTAAGTTATATACGTTACACGGGACACATCAAAAACAAATGTAATCCAGGAGAAAATGTGTTTTTCTTGACATGTAATTCACAATGCAGTTTTGTTATCTGAGAAGACAATTTTACTGAGACTGGCTGGTACAAAGTGGTAAATGTACTGGAAATGAATTAATGTTGTTTATCTATTTATCTTAAGAAATAGTGTGACATTTTGGGAAATACATTTTATATCTTTCTTGCTGAAAGGCAAATGAAACAAGGAAACAGTTAGCTTAGCATAAAAATAATTACAAAGCAGAGCCAGACTCATCAATATTTGTGCTAAGCTAAGCTAAATGTCTTAGTTAGCTTAGTTAAAGCTGCAGCTTTACCGTACTTAACATCTTCTCATCTAACTACTTCCAAATTCAAACAGCAGGTAAATGTTCTCCAATGGAAGTGTGCAATGCAAATTCCTTTATGTGTGAAAGGGACACATGACATGAACTTGCGGGAAAACATGCAGCATCCTAAACCCAAAATGTTGAATGATTCAATCATGCAGTCCAGAAAAACAAAAAAAAAGCAGCGTCTATAATCCCCGTTTCTGTATTTATCTGTTAAACAAAATATCAGAATCTTGTGCAAATTAAAGTCACATGATTCATGACCCGCATTCAAAAAGTGTGGATTTCTTTTTATACCTGTCTCTGTCAGGGGAGTGAAAGTTGGTGTCTGGTCTCAGACAAGTGGTGCTGGCACTCCTCACTCTGTCCAACGGCGGCTGCAGGTCGCTGCACCACCACAACATGGCAGCAGAGAGAGAGAGAGAGAGAGAGAGAGAGAGAGAGAGAGAGAGAGAGA